TACCAGAAAGATGTTTACTTATGTTTTATTGACTATGCAAAGGCATTTGATTGTGTGGACCATGACAAATTGTGGATAACATTGAGAAGAATGGGAATTCCAGAACCCTTAATTGTACTCATGAGGAAGCTGTACATATACCAGGAGGCTGTCGTTGAAAGAGAACAAGGGGACACTGCATGGTTTAAAATCAAGAAGGTAGTGCATCAGGGTTATATACTCTCACCATGCTTATTTAATCTATATGTTGAGCAAATAGTCCGAGAAACTGGACTATAAGAAGAACATCATGGCATCAGGATTGGAAGAAGAATCATTAACAATCTGCGATATGCTAACGACCCAACTTTGCTTGCTGAAAGTGAAGATGACTTGAAGCACTTACTGATGAAGATTAAAGAACACAGTCTGCAATATGGATTACATCTCAATATAAAGAAAACAAAAATCCTCACAACTGGATCTATAAGCAGCATGATGATAAATGGAGAAAAGATTGAAGTTGTCAAAAACTTCATATTGCTTGGTTCTACAATTGACACCACTGGAATCTGCAGTCAGGATATCAGACGACATATAAGTTAGCTGCAAAGGATCTCTTTCAAGTGCTGAAGAACTAGGATGTCTCCTTGAGGACTAAGGTGCACCTGAAACAAGCCATGATATTTTCAATCACCTCATATACATGTGAGAGCTGGACAATGAATAAGGAAGACCAGAGAATTGATGCGTTTGAGTTGTGGTGCTGGTGAAGAATACTGAAAGTACTATGGACTGTTAAAAGAATTAGCAGATCTGTCCTGGAGGAAGTTCAGCCGGAATGCTCCTTGGAAACAACAATGGCCAGACTTCATCTCACATACTTTGGTCATGTTGTCAGAAGGGATCATTCCCTGGAGAAGGATGGGTAGATGAAGGCGGGGAAGGCCCTCAAGGAAATGGATTGACATAGTGGCTGTGGCGATGGGCTCAAGCATAGCAAGGATTGTGGTTCTGGCATGGGACCAGGCAGTGTTTCGTTCTGCTGTGTATAGGGTCGTTATGAGTAGGAAATGACTCGATGGCATCTGTCAACAATTACTTCAAAAATAAGTACTACATAGTATAAAATTGGCCACACATTCCTTGATTACGTTAAAAACAGTGCAGATAGTAGAGAGTTGTATTTGTTTTCCTTTTGACTCTTTGTGGGAAAACAAGGCTACTTTGTTTCATGAAGTGGTACGGCTATACTTTACTGCTTTTCTTAATCTAGCTTTCTCTTAGTGACCACTCTTTAATTCTTGGTTTTCAGAGTCATAGTAGACATTATAGGTGCTCTGGTGGTGCAATGGTTAGAGCATTCTGCTGCTAACCAAAAGGACTGTTCGACCCCTCCTGCTGGTTTGTGGAATAAAGATGAAGCAATTTGTTTCTGTAAAGATTTACAGCTTCAGAGACCCTATAGGCAGTTCTACTCTGTCCTATAGGGCCGCTGTGAGCTAGAATTGACTTGGTGGCAATGGGTTTGGGTTCTGGTTGGTTTGATGGACATTCTCAGTGTCTTTTGAAATGTTTATTGAAATTTTGCAGTAAGCTTTATAAGGATTTACTATTTACAAAAATTTTTAATCCCATGTTTAAAATAATCTGGTCATTGACAAAATAGGTATAGAGGTTTAAGGAGAACCTAGGAAAACTGTCTTGCCTTGTTAACTGTCTTGAATGCTGATGTTCCTAATCTCTTTATAAGTATTAATATGTCTTATGCTTTTTATATACTCTCCAATTATTACATTTTAGTTGGTTTATATTGGACTGCAAATCAGGCTACCTTAAGTATGGTCCATGATGTGATACACTTCGTCTATGTGCAGTGTTGCAAATTAATTTTGAAGGTAAAAAGAAAATAATAATTAACTATATTATTTTTGACAAGTTACTAAGCCTCTGCCTTGGATTCTTATTTACAAAACTAGGGGATAATCTATAATAGCTTTAAATTATTTTGTAGGTATTCAGTTTCTTGGTATTGTAAAATCAATCAACATATAGGTAATTTTGACTTTGTGTACCATAATGATGTCACAAAAAAGCTATTGCTGTATTATAATTTCCTGAAGGCCTTAATTTATCTGCCATTGACTATCCAATTTGAATTCTACTTTCTACATGATTTCATTTCTAACAAATTCCAGCTTATAAAGATTAATGCTTTTTTTTTTTTTTTTGGAGAAACATTTTCAGTTATAGAATATTTTGCAATCAGTAGCAGTGATTAAAAATAGTGTTCTTCTGGTGACAGCATTCTTCTACCATAGGTAGCTGACATTGATGGATCTTTTTCACTCCATATTTCAGTAAGAGTGCCCTAGGTTAGATACAATTTTTCAGACTTATAAGAGAATAGGAGAACCAAAACCTTGTGACCATGAGCTATATTCAGAGGAAAAGAAGTTTTATGATCTATAAGACTATTCCCTCTGGTACTTGACCTTATTGCGAAGTATGAGTGATGAGTACTCTGAGAAATGCCTCATTTCTCTTATTGGAGGGATACATGGACCTCTCCTTTCTATGGCTCTAGGATGCTATAGAAAGAAAAAGTTATCAAACTCATATCACTTAATTTTGAAGGAATAGTATATATTTCAAGCAGGAGAAAAAGGATGAGCAAAGGTAAGGAAACATTAAATTTAATCCCTTTTCTTAATCAGAAAAATAATGTTATCTTTCATAATATGCTTTCAATAATATCTCAGTGACCAAACTTACATTATAAGGCTGCTCCAAGCTTCAAAGGAACCTGGGAAAGTTTTTCTAAAAAATAAACTTTATTGATTTATAATTTACATTTAATAAAATTCACACTTTTTATGTATGCAGATCTATTATCTTTAACAAATGTATACACACATGTAATCACTACTCCAATCAATATATAGAATATGTGCATCTTTAGGAGGCAACTTTAAGCATTTCACCATGTCAAAAAAAACTAAGATTCTGTTAGGAAGAAGAGAAATGATATTAAGTAGGCAATAGGCAGTGTCTGTCACATGGATGTTAAATATAGATGTACTTAAATAATAGTTTGGAAAAGGAAAAAGGTAGAAGACTTCAGGCATAGTAAATCTAACTAATAATGTGAACTTGGCTAGTCTTCCAGATCTTTTTATGTTTCAATTTATTGGGGGGCAGGGGCCTTTAAAAAAGCTCTTGAATGTATCAAATATTTTTGTGAGGACTAAATGAGATACTTTTTGTGAAGGTATATTAAGATCTTTAAGGCCCTACTCAAATGTAAAAAATTATCTTTTATTTTTCTCATGATCAAAGCCTTTTCCTTTTGAAAATGACGATGAACTTGACTTACTAGCCTAAAATATCACAGTTGCATAGTTAAAACATACTTATAAAATATACTAATTATTTAATCTATTAATGGTCTGTAAATCATGGCAATAAGCAGTTCAAGGCAGGGTTATTCCAACTTATATCGCTATCAATTGGATAAAAATAACATTAAGTGTGTAATTTCTCAAAACATCAGAATATTGTGTATATTTTTGACTAACAAATTCTAGCTGATTTCCCATTTATGGTATCATACTTTGAAAAATAAATCTTGAAATTCTTTTATTCAATGTGAAATACTAATTTTATTTTGAGAAACTGTACTCTTGGCAAAATCAAGTAATGTTGATTTTTTTGGAGTATTTTAGAACACTATTTGTTCTTTACTTTAGAGTTGACCAGTTGGAATCAGTTATAAAAGGTTAAATAAAAATCTATTGTGAATACTGCATTGTCAGTGATTACAAACATCAATCTATGGATAAATAGATAGGTAGACAAGCTGAATGATCAAGTATGTCTAGGCAAAAGGAAATATATCCATGATCATATTTAAGGTTGGCAGACAATATTTCTACATATGTATTTGTATGTGCTGTAAGAATATCTAAATGTATAATTGAGCAAACAAGGGGCAAAGTTATAACTTCTTGGCTACAGCACCAATCCTGAGGGAGTGAGTAGTTGGACCTGTGGCCTCGGGGCCATGATCTTAGGGGACATGAAGGTCAATTGGCATAACATAATACACAAAAACATTGTTCTATATCCTACTTTGGTGAGTAGCGACTGGAGTCTTACAAGCTTGCAAGTGGTCATCTGGATGCAACTATGGGTCTCTACTCATCCAGAGCAAAGAAGAATGAAGAAAACCAAAGACACATGGAAACAATTAGTCCAAGGGACTAACAGACCATGTGATACTCAGGCTATATGATCATGAGATCAGAAGAACTGGATGGTGCCTGGCTACCATTGTCAATCCCTCAGAAAGAATCAGTGCAGGAGATCCAGGATAGAGTGGGAGAACAATGTGGAACAAAACTCAAAATCATTTAAAATAAAAGGCAAGTTTTGCTTGTGTGATAGAACCTTCAGGTCTGGAACTGAACTCACTCCTGTGGCTTCCAGCCAAACAATAGACAAGCATATAGGGTGAACATTTTTATCAGGTAGGTATACATAGAGTAATCAACCGTGGGAGAACAGAAGGGCAGTGTTTGAACAGGGAGATAGCGTGGGGGGTGAGAGTGCAAAATGGAAAATGGAAAATGAGTTTGCTCTGTAAACTTTCACCTAAATCACAATAAAAATTAAAACAAACAAACAAAAAAACCTATTGTGAGATTTTGGGGGCACTTTGTAGAGCTAGAGCCCTTGATTGGTTACCATACAGGTTCTGTGAACAAATGTGATTGTTTGTAGTATTTATTACTCTGAGAAGTTTATCAGAATACTAATCCAAACCAAACAGCTTACAAAACATGGCCCTTAGACTGTTATCATAATCATTGTCAGTCAGTACTGGTATTTATTGAAAATGAATATATCTGGTAATGCAGGACACTCATTTCCTCTGGCCTTTAGATTTATTTTTTCATTTTAAAATTAATTTTCATTATTTTCTCATAACATCTTGGTCATTTTGTTCATAAAATTTTCAGGTTGGACTCAGCATTGGCTTTGTTGGTCCTTGGGGAGGCTGCCAAATTAAACATGGCCTGCTTGAAAACTTTAATGGATCTAGTAAGAGATTTTATTTCAAGTATAATGTCTGCTCAGAATCAGGTAAGAGAATTACCAATTTAGCTGAAAAGAGGCCTGGCTAGAAACAAAATTGCTACAACTATATCCACTCTTCACTTTTTCCCATGGCTAGATTCCAAAGATCTTGTCATTGTGCAAAACTGATGTTATTTGAAAACAGAGGATGACCACACTTGTTCACAAAATGGAGAATGACTACATCATTACATAACTTCCAAACCACTGAGAATCATGGCCCAGCCAAGTTGACACAAAACCTTAATCATGGCCAGTGTTACTCTTGCCTCATTCCTTGCCATTCATTACTGCCGGATGTACATTGTTATTGTGCTAAATAGTTAGAAGTAGATTTATTACTATTGTCATAAATGCAAAATATTGGGTAACAAAGTAATTAGTAAATGAGGAGTCCAAACCAAAACCAAACTTGTTGCCATTGAGTCAATTCTGGCTAATAGCAACCTGACAGGAGAGAGTTAACCTGCCCCATAGGTTTCCAAGGCTGTAATCTTTATAGGCCTCATACTTGACTGCTAACCAGAAGGCTGGTGGTTCAAACCCTCCAGCCACTCCTCAGAAGGAAGGTTGGGCAATCTACTTCCGTAGTGATACCACCTCAGAAATCCAAGGAGGGTCGCTATGAGTAGGTCGACTCAATGGCACATAACAACAACAACATGCATGCAAAAGCTGCATAATGAATAAGAAAGACTGATGAAGAATTTATGTCTTTCAATTATAGTGTTGGAGAAAAATATTAAATATACTGTAGACAGCCAGAAAAATGAACAAATCTGTCTTGGACAAAGGACAGCCAGAATGCTCCTTAGAAGTGAGGACAGTGAGACTTCGTCACACATGCTTGGAAGATGTTATTAGGAGGAATGTTCTTGGAGAAGAACATACTTGGTAAAATAGAGGGTCAGCGAAAAAGAGGACACACTGACTTCAACAATGGGCCATAAAAAGCAATGGTTGTGAATATGGCACAGGACCAGACAGTGTTTGATTTTATTGCACAAAGTGTCAGTATGAGTCAGAACTGATTCAATGACACCTAACAACAACAGTCTTTATGGAAGCAGCCTGCCACATTTTTTTCCAGCAGAGTGGCTGGTGGGTGTGAAGAGCCAAACTTGTGATTAACAACCAAGCATTTAACCACTATGTCACCAGTATTCCTCAAGTGAGGTGTAAGTGTACCTAAATCGTCTATCATGTTAGGGCACATGATGATCATAACTTTATAATAAGATTTAAATTGTATATAAGGTAAGTGCATAGTATAGAAATTTAAAACAACAAAAAAATATTTTTATAAGAAAATTTAACTTTCAGTCCCAGTTTGTATATAGCTTTCTTCTACTTTATAAAATAATTTATATTATAAACATTTTTCATTGCATTAAATGTTACTAAAAGTATTTTTAATGGGATTGAGATAATTTATTTTGCCATTTCTCTGTTGTAGAACATTGAGTTTGTTTCTCATTTTCAGAGCTAATTACAAATAACTGGTATCCTCATACATAAAGATTTTTATCTGCATTTCTGATTATCTCTTTAGAATAGATTCATAAAATCAAATTACTTAGTGGAAGACTATTAACTTTCTTATAAGGTTCTTACAATATCTTCAGAAGATATTATTTTCTTACATTTCTATGAAAAATATATAAAGTTGCCATATACTAGAACTGATTTTTATCAAACAGATTCTTTTTCAATTTAATATGGAAAATAGTATTTCATTGGATTAATTCACATTCCATGGATTACTAATGAAGTAGAAAAGTTGTTATATACTAACTAGCTATTTATAGTCTTCATTCTTTGCACTGAATTTTTATGGAAAATATTCACAGAAAACCTAATTTTTAATGAGTACCTTTTAGAAATATTAGTTTATTACAATTTTTAGCAGCTCCATAAAATTTGGGTATATTTCTTGTTATAAGTACATGATATAATTTTTAATTATGGTAGAGTATACTTTAATTATTTAAGAGCTATATTCTTATTTCAGGAAGAAGGCTACAAAGGCAATGATTTTTCCTGGGCCTGGAACATAGTCTACACATATGTAACAATTATTGCAGAAATCTGCTTATATGCAGCCACTTCTAGATTGCGTAAAACTGTTTTCCTTGGTTTCTGTGGCTGTAAAAGTTCACACAAAAATATTTTAGCCATAGACATCAAATCAGAAGATGAGCCAATATTAAAGGAAGCAAGTATTTTAGGTCTTTTGAAATATTTCTCTTCAAAAATATCAGAAAACTGTAAGTAAATTTTTGTTTTCAATGTAATGAGTAGTATTTTTTTAAAGTTCTTATTTGCATATAGTAATAAGCCTTTTTTAAAAATTAAGTTTTCTGAGTGGGAAATAATTTTAAATTTAATAAGACATCCTAAAAATTAAAAAAAATATTTTTATAACAAAATTTTAAAAATAATTTTAAATCCACTGAAATGTAAACTAAGTTCAGTTGATTTATGGTTCAAATTATATTCCTTGAAAACAAGGGATGACCTTAGGAAAATCATGAAAAATGAAATTTCCTTTTTCTTAAATTTTGGTTTTTTTCTCCATAAGGACTTTTCCTCTCCCCTTTTTTCTATAGTCCTATATTATTTCCCTCTTGTTCTCTTTCTACCTAGATGCTTTCCCTGAAAATTTTCACTCAAATATCATGTTACTTTCTTTACACTTGCTAAATATCACAGAAAATAGTTCAAAGGTTAGTATTATCTGCTGGCTTTCTCAGCACTGATTACTAGCGTGGATGGGTCCGCATTTTTGGAAAGTGATATAAGGAATCTGGAGCTGCTGCTTTGCTTAACTGAAATTTTTTTCTCATAATTTTATGTTCAAGTAAATAATTACTTTTTTTTTTTTAGAGTGAAAGAACAAGCTCAGGAGTCACACAAGCCTGTAGTTTAAATCTATCACTGGTATCTCAGAATCTTAGGTGAATGTTTTTAATCTTGCAAAGACTTGCTTTCTTTACCTAATAATCATGATAAGAATATTATCAATATCATAGAGTTTTTGTATGGAAACATAAACACTTAGCATAGTACCCTGTGCATACTAAATTTCCAGTTAATGTTAATAGATATTATGGGTAGTAATGTAGCTATGAATGTTATTATTACAATAAGAAAACATCATTTAGTGGGAAGGATAAATTTTTCTGATATTTATTTCTATGTAGAGTATACATCCTGGGAATCCCTAATATATTCACATATAAAGATATAAACAGTACTGAAAAACATTCAAAAATTGTATCATTGAAGGAATCAAACAGTGTTCTTATTAAAGATTTATATGAATTTTTAATATGAAGAAACAATTTAAATCATAGTTTTGTGAAGTCATTGTTACGGGACATTAAAAACTTTCATGAAGGTAATTTCTTGGTGACTTTACCAAATATAGGAGTAGAACTTGAAGAATCTAGATTGGTTGGTTACTTAATATGTTCCTTTTTCACTCTGAAGATCTTGCATCAGACAAGATTTTCTTAGAGTCAAATGTCTACTAATTCAAGAATGAGGTCTCTTGCCAGTAACTGAAGGGTTAATTTTTGGTGATTTTTGTATAATATTGATTGGATTCAAACTTGAAGAGGTCTGACTTACATTTTTCCTTTTATAAATAACCATCCTACATACTTTCCACTGGAGTTGAGCTGTAAATATGTTTGAGTATTTTCATATGTCTGAAACATGAAAGTTTTCACCTAGAAGAGATGATTTTGAGCTGGAAATATATGAGGAAAGGGTTAAAGTATAATTTTCCTAAACATACCGAAATTTTGCTTTGTTGTTAGTTGCTATTGAGTCAATTTTGAATCACAGTGACCCCATGTGTCATAGAATAGAACTCCATTGCTTGGTTGCAATCTTAGTAGAAGCAGATAGCTAGGCCTTTTCTTCTCTGGTAGTGCTGGGTGGGTTTGAATGTTGAGGTTAGCAGTCCACTGTAAACCAATCCCGGCTGAAATTCTGGTTTTCATGAACAGTTTTCCTTGATGGTTTATAGAGGACAAGAATGGCTAATGCTTATTGAGCACCTACTATGCACTTAACACATACTAATTCATTAAACATTATAACAAAATTAAATCATAGATATGCCTATTATTCATATTATTGGAGGAAGACTCATTGACAACCTGCAAAACACTGATGACACAATTTTGCTTGCTGAAAGTGAGGATGACTTGATGCACTCACTGATGAAGATTGAAGACTACAGTCTGCAGTATGGATTGCACCTCAATATAAAGAAAGCAAAAATCCTCACAAATGAACCTATAAACAGAATGATGATAAATGGAGAAAAGATTGAAGTTGTCAAAGATTTTACATTGCTAGGTTCTACAATCGATGCCAATGGAAGCAGCCGTCAGGATATCAGATGACATATAGCACTGGGCAAATCGGCTGCAAAGGACCTCTTTCAAGTGCTGAAGAGCAAAGATGTCTGCTTGAGGACTAAGGTGCGCCTGACCATGATATTTTCATTCGCCTCATATGTAAGTCAGAGCTACACAATGAATAAAGAAGACCGAAGAAGAATTGATGCTTTTGAGATAGGGTGCTGGCAAAGAATGCTGAAGGTACCATGGACTGCTAAAAGAACTAATAATAAATCTGTCCTGGAGGAAGTGCAGCCAGAATGCTCCTTGGAAGTGAGAATGGCCAGACTTCGTCTCACCTACTTTGGTCATGTCAGTAGGGACCATTCCCTGGAGAAGGATGTCATGCTTGGTAAGGGGGAGGGTCCATGAAAGAGGGGAAGGCTCTCAACGAGATGGATTGACACAGTGCTCCGGCAATTGGCTCAGGTGTAACAGAGATTGCAGAGCTGGTGTGCAGCTGGGTGGTATTTTATTCTGCTGTCCAATAGGGTCGCTATGAGTGGGAGACGACTCCACAGCACCTAACAACAGTAACATTAATATTACTGCCATTTCATATATAAGAAAACTGAGGCACTAAGAACTTATTTGCCCAAGGGAAATACAGTTAGATAATGGTAGATCTGGTGGCATAGTGTCTAAGGCATTTTACTTCTAACCAGAAGGCTGGTGGCTTAAACCCTCCTTCGAAGACTAGGCATTCTAATTCCATAGAGATACCACCTCGGAAACCTAAGGAGGGATTGCTATGAGTCAGAATTGACTTGATGACAATGAGTATTTTTAGTTTTCATGGTAGATCAGAGCCTTAATTAACCCAGGCAGTCTAGCTTCAGAGTCCAAATTGGTAACAATCTTGCTATACTGAATTTACTAGGTGATGTATTGAGTGGAAATCTTTAGAATTATGCATTTATATGTTGCAGAATGTGAAAAAGATGACTTTGAGAAATTTTCTCTGACAGTCATTAACCTACAGAAGTGTTTGTGAAACCATGGTCACAGATCATCTGGGGTCCTTATTTACAATGCAGACTCCTAGGCCTTGTTCTAGAACTACTGAGCAGACATTCTTAGATAAATAAATAAAGTTGAATCCAAGAATCTATTATTGAACCACTTTCCATATTATACTTTGAGGAAAATCTAACTTATAAGGGAGGAGGTCAGCAGAAAATAACGAAGGCAAATGAAGACACTGGGAGGAACACAAGATTTAAAAACAACAAAAGTAAATAGTACTGCATACACGATCTTGCAATAATAGTAGTAACAATAATGTACAAGTCGATACATAGATAGACATGCAAACTGAACAGGTATGGGAAGGTGAATGGAACTATACCCAAGAATATATATAGGTCTGACAGAGGAATGTTCCTACATATGTATTTGTATGTGCTGTAAATATATTCATGAATGTAGTAGAACATACATGGGACAAAGTTATGAAAACCTCTTAGCCTTAATGAAAAACCTTGAGGGAATGATTTGCTAGGCCTGGAGACTCAAGACCATAGTCTCAGGAGACATCAAAGTCAATTGGGATAGCACAGTCCACAAAGACTTTTTTTTTTAAAAATACATTTTATTGAAATATAATTTATGTACAGTGAAATACATAAAACTAAAGTCACAAGGGTCAATGTTTTATTTATTTATTTTGCAGTGTTCCCTCCCCATCTCTCCTATCCCTGGCAACCAACAAAGAAAGTTTCCCTCCATATATAAACCTTTTCTTGACCCTTCACAACAACAAACTAATAGTATATTTGTCCTTCTGTGATTGATTTATTTCATTCAGCACAATGTCCTCCAAGTTCATTCATGTTATGCAGTGTTTTGCAGACTCTACATTATTCTTTAGTGCTGCATATCATTCTATTGTGTATATGTACCATAGTTTTGTCAGTCACTCTCCTACTGATGGGCACATTGGTTGTTCCCATCTTTTTGCTATTGTAAATAATGCTGCAATGAACATGAGTGTGCATATATCTGTTCCTATCCTGGCTCTCACCTCTCTAGGATACATACCTTGTAATGGGATTGCTGGGTCAAATGGTATCTCCAATTCTAGATTTCTAAGGAATTGCCATAATACTTTCCACAGTGGTTGTATCACTTTACAGTCCCACCAGCATTGTATGAGAGTCCCAATCTCTCCACATTTCCACCAGCATTTCTTATGTTCTGTCTTGTTGAACCTTGCCATCAGTGCTGGAGTGAGATGGTATCTCATTGTTGTTTTGATTTGCATCTCTCTGATGTCCAATGATCATGAGCATCTCTTCATGTATTTCCTGGCCACCTGAATATCTTCCTTGGTGAAGTGTCTATTCATGTCTTCTGCCTATTTTTCAATTGG